TCACAGAAAGACAGGCAGCAGAGGTGGGCAGAACAGACTGTCCAGTGTTTTCTTTCATGGACTAGTCCTGCTTGCTTTCTTCCAATGCATTTATCTGTGTCTCATGCTGATCAGTTTTTGTGGTTCATAGGACAGAGCTTCCCTCAGACTTCCGTCAATATGAGTGAACTTTAGACACCACTGTCTCCATGTCTTAATCACTGAAGATCACTGTCAAGACAGCTCCATTTTTATTTCCCTACTCTTATTTCTTGCCTCCAGTTGAACCAACAGATTTATTTCAGTTTTATTCCAGTGTAACTTAAGTTCCTTTGGGGACCGTTCATGAGATTTGTTTCATCAACTCCATTTCCCTGTTCCTCCTAGATCATGCCGAGCTGATGAGCAGGTTGGAGAAGAAGGAACGGGAATGTGAGACAAAGACCCAAGAGAAAGATGAAATGATGAAGACTCTAAACAAAATGAAGGACAAGCTGCAGAAGGAGTCCTTGGAGCTGCGCCAGACCCGGGACCAGATGAACGACTTGGTAGCTCAACTTAATGAGTTCTCGGTATGAGACAGGGATTCTTCCTATCCTTGTTAAAAACCTGCTAACTAGCAAATGATGAAGAAAAACATATGATGAGTGAAAAATCTTCCTGTGGCCTGTACAGAAGCGAGCCTGACCAGGCAGCCACAAATACAAATGCTTATATGCTACTTAGACTTTCGGTAGAGACCATATTACCTGAGCAAGTGGTATAGAATGGTTAATGCAGGAATGAGCTATTTCATTCTTTCTCCTCAGCCCTTGCTTTGAGCTATTTGAGAATTACTGAGGTACATGTGTCCTCCTCTAGCCATAATTTTTTACTGCTGAGTGGGTGTGATACGTGGCCCTGTTTGTTATTCTAGTAGAACAAAGAGATATCTCACAGATATTAAAGTGGATTTTAGTGGAGAAACAGGACCCATGTCATGTGTCAAGAGGGCCTGCACTGCCTTGGAACTTTGCAGAAGTGACATTTGCAGCTGCTCCTGCTTGCTGCTGCATCTGTCCTCATAGTGTGCCTGAGCCTTGACTCAGCAGGACATAGAACTGAGGAGTTAGACACTGCAGAGAACGGGGTTCACCCCCTCCTCCCTTCTCCCACTTTGTGTTACTGTAGTCTTAATCACAGGTATTCAGTATTTCAAATGCTCAGGTTCAAAACCCAGGAGTTCATAAGTTTACAAGATTGAACTTTTATCTTTTTTTTCATACATAAGGAGAAAATAATACATTTTGGCTTCTTTTACTAGCTTTCTGCTTTTCTGAGCCATTTATGGTTCCTTTTTTCAAGCTCTTTTCCTCAGCTTTAAGGGCTTGAAACTTTCTCTGAAATGAAAGCTGAGATTCCTCCCTTTATTGCATGGCTTTGGGTGCAGGAGGTTTTAAAGAAAACACCAAATATTTTGAGACTTGTAATAAAATCATATCAGCTGGCAACGTGGAGTTATTTTATGTTTTAAACTGTTTGCTTTCTTTTTCTGTGTGTTTTTTTTTTATTTTTCAGCAAGGTGGCAGCATTTCTTTCCCACCCCCACCGCCACCCCCTCCTGGTGGCCCATTAGCTTTGTCCTCTTCTCTCATGTCAGAGAATTTGCCTCCACTGCCACCCCCTCTGCCTTTCTCCAGTTGTCCCCCTCCTCCTGCTCCACCACCTCCTCCAGGAGGACCTCCTCCCCCACCAGGAGCACCACCTTTCTTCAGCATGGGCATGGCTCCCCCTCCAACAACCACCTTCAGCAGCAGTGGCACCAGCCTGAAGAAGAAATCTATCCCACAGCCTTCACACCCCCTGAAATCCTTCAACTGGGCTAAACTGAGTGAGGTAAGAACTTAATTGCCAAATGCAGCCGTGTTGACTGATGCTGTGAAGCACAAGGTGACAGAAGCCAGTGATTTAGTGGCTTTTAGTAGTCAGTAGGAGTCAATAACTGTTTTGAGGGAGTTTCACCAATTGTCTAGCAGTACAACACATCTGTGGTGACCAAGGTACATGTTAGATTCATCAGCAGTAAGTCAGGGGATACTGTTGGTTCAGCACAGCTGCAGTGGGACCAGATGCTGTAAGCCAGAGGCAGACATCACCAGGGCTCTTGTGCCAGAGCTGCCCTCATTTTTGCATCAAGGAGAAGGAAGTCTGGAGCCAATGTGAGCAGAACCCAGTGAGAAACAGCTCCAGAAACAGTCTCCTCTACCCGGGAAGGAGCAATTGTTGAGGAGGGCATGGTGGCCTGTTTTTCCTCACCATTCGTTCATGGTTGTAAGGAAGCAGCCCTCTTGCAAGGTTACTGCTCTTTATCTTGCAAATAAAACTCCAAATAAGCCAAAAAAAAAAAAAAAAAGAGAGAGAGAGAGGATTTGGATTACTCCTTTTGCACACATTTTCTATTACCTCAGTCTCCTCTCCTGCCCCTCCACTTCTATTTCTTTTCTATGTTTTTTCCTCCATTTCTCTTTTAGTCTTAATTTTTTTTTAACTGATTTAGAAAGAAAAAAAGTGTCTGTGTTGAGCTTGGATTTCTGCCTAGAAACCCAGGTTCTCTTTTAGACTGAAACTCACCCAGGGCCCAACTCAGGCATTTGGAATGAGTGTCCAGGGACCTCTGGAATGCCACAAGAATTCTCTCTCCCCCTCTCTCCTTTTCTTTAAAATAAAGTGAAGTAAAATATTTTCTGCACCGTCTGTGCTTGTCTGTCAAGGCCACGTGGGGGGTGTGGGAGAGAATGTAAGAACAGGGATTTATTTTCCTTTTCCGAACATGGGACTTAGTGCTCCGAAGAAAAGAAATAATAACTAATATATGTATATATGAATGTATATGAAAAAGAGAGTCACAGGTGTTTCTGTTTAGTGTACGGTAACTGTAGGCTTATCCTGCCCTCTGGTTAGGAGTGAAGGCAGCTGTGCTAATAAAATTGAAGGCCTGGGTGGTGAAGGGGGTAAAAGATGCTATTTCGAAGAAGGCAAAATAGTTGGAAAGGGCACATAAGAGGGAGGGATTTTCCTTTTGGAGAATTTTCAGTGACCTAGTAAGGTCTCGGCAAAACTGCTAAGGTTGTGGTCAGACACTGAAAAGTGGCTTGCCCAGGTTCTTTGGGGTGCACTTTGTTATGGGATTATTTAATTTCTCTGGCTGCTAGAGAAGGCAATGTGTTTTGGCCATCTTCATCAGTGCTCCAGACTTCCTGCTTCATTCCCGGGTGCATTCCTTCTGTATACATGGGTTTGAATTCTCTAAATGCAAGTATCATGGGTAGGTTGAATGGCCTTATCTTAAATGTTGTTTATGTTGCAGCATTTCTACAGTGTTTATCCTGAAGCAAAATAGTCATACATAAATTCATAAAGACTTGCACTGAGCATACCAGCTGGGGCAAGGAGTGTGTGTGCGTGGAGTAGTCAGCATACCTCTAGTTTTCAAGCATGGGACACTGAAGGCTGGCAGTATCATTTAGCATTGTTGCGTTGTTTTGGCAGTGCTTGGCTTCCAATTTACCTGAACACAAATTTTTCCCCCCAAAAATATTTGATTTTAAAAAATATTTGATACATATGTGATTTATTATTATTAAGGACTTCACCAGTTAGCAGAAAGTTCAAGAGCATGTCTATACAATGCAGCATACTGAGGTGCAGTGATCCAGCTCCAGGCTGTAACCAGGACAAATAGCCCTTTTATTCATCTCTTGGGTATCTCTGCATCTTGTCTGGTTCATCCTTCTTAAAGCAGTTAGTGCTGGGGCGTTGTTCTAAGCTTTGATAAATGCGGCCAGCCCTAATGGAGCCAGAGAACGTTAGGAGAACCTGAGAGAAGTGTGGTTGGGGTTGGGCAAGAGGGATTTGTTTGTCATGGGTTTTCCCCACAGAGGAATTACGTCTGTTCTGCAGGACAATTCATATGACACCTTTTTCCCAGTATTGGTATTGTCTTTGGAAAGAAAGGATTGATTTGTTTGGTGTTATGAGAATGATCAAATATATTCTAGCTCTTAGCAGTTGACAATAACAGATTGCCTGCAGTTCCCAAGGGCGCCACGGAGAAAGAGAAGTCAGAAAAGACTTGTCTGAAAAGTATTCGTGCTTCGAACAAGGAAACAACCACCAACCAGCTAATTTCCTCTGGGAATTACAGACTTCGTATTAGCTTTGATCTGGGTTGATGGTGAGCGCAAAGCCATTTAGATGCATAGATTGACTGAGTTCTGGCTAATCCCTTCCACACCACAGATCCATTCATAGGGCACTGCAGTATTGTCTGAGAATTCCATTCATACAGTTCTATAGTAGTGCTGGTGCCAAGGATCCCTGTTTTTTGAGAAAAAGACATTGCACTGTAACCACTGCAATGTCCTGGAAGGATTCCTTTCTTTGTTTCTAGACAGAAAGGAGAGTCGAGTCGCTCTCCCACCCTGGTTTTTCACAACACCCAAGGTCAAATAGGGACCAGATATTTATGGTTAGTCAAATGGTGGTTTCAAGCACTCTTGAAGAATGGATCCATATCATTAGCTTTTTAATAAATACAAACATATTTATTTGAAATTATCAGAGTAAATTAAGTCAGTCTTCAACTGTGGCTTTTATTACCTCATGGCTAGAGGAGACAGATCCCACTAAGAGTCAGGCAGATACTGCTAAGTGACTCCAGTAGATGAGATGATCTAAAAGAAACTTGATTTATCTTGCCCTAAACAGACCTGTGTGAGCTAATCTCAGAAGAAATGTGTTTGTTCTACATGCCCTATAGGAATAAAGAAGGGAGGAAAAAAAATAAGAAGGTGAGCAGAAAATGTTCATTTTTAGAAAATGATATAGAGAATTCTGGAACTTTATACCTTAAAGTAGCCCAAGGACCAGTGCAGATGATGATGCAGGGCTGCTGCCAGAGATTTAAAATTAATGGAAAGATTTCTACAAAATCTCAGTGTGAAGCTACTCATAATAGCCTTGGTGGTGCCTAATCCTACAGTGAGATAAAACAGCTGTCTCAATTAACAAACATGCCAGAAATGCGATTTTTGCTCAAAGTGAAGTTTTCTTAAACTAGGAAAAGGGATCAGATATCAAGAAAGAAATTTGAGAGATCCACTTTGTTGATGTCCTTTTTTTTTCAGATTGATAATGGAATGAAAGATAAATCATTTTTAATATGTTTCACTTTTTGATGGTTAATATTTTTAAAATATCTGGAAATAGCCTGTACCAGTATTCATAAGACACTTGGAGTTTCCATAGTGTCTCTGTAATTGCAGGATGGATTAAAGGACATAGTGTGAGGTTATTAAGACAGGATGGAGTTTGGTGACTTGAGAATGTCTTTATTTATCTTGCAGGGCAAATAAATCACTTGGTAGGCATGGTAGAGAACAAACCGGTATGATTTCTAGTTTCATGAAGCCCTGCCATTCTCTAATCTTGATAGGCCTCCCAATAAATTTAGCTGCTTTAAAAAGGTGCAATGACATAATCACAGGATTTTGCGGGGAGCAAAATGTTATTTGCAACATACCAAAAACCCAACTTGGTGAAGGAAATGCTGGTAAACCCTTAATCTGGCTAAAGAGGTGTTTCCTCAAGCAGTGTAGGCTACTGCTTTGCTAGAGGACTCTGGGAGATGTAGTTCTTAGGATTTGCTTCTCAAAAGGGGCCAAGGCTTTGCACAGCAGAGGAACCACAGAGCTTGGCAGACTTGTAGTAAAAATAAATAAGTAAATAGGGGGTGAAATGTATGCTACAGATTAAGTGACCACCTTTTCTTCCTTTAAGGGGGGAGAAAAAAGGAAAGAAGTAAAGAATTTATTTTTAAATTGTTAGTTAGGGACCATAAATATTTTTTATGGTGCTGAGGGAGTCGTTTATCATAGCAACCACGTTCTGCAAGTCTGTTTCTCTTAAAACTCTTGGTGTCTTTGGCTGATGACAAGGAACTATCAGCCAGTTAATCCATAGCTGAGTAGGAAGAGCTCAGCGTAGGAAATTTTCTGGCAGTAACATGAAAGTTAAGTCAAGGGCAGAGCTTAGGGTAGGAGTAGAAAGGACAGCCTCTTTGCAAGTGCTCTGTGTAACAAAAGTTGCCTATACCTGTGCCTGCCTTGTTTTTAGTTTGGCTGGATTACTGGGTATGTTTTTTTAGTGCTAAAATTTGTCCACTTGGGTCAAAGATCTCTGCACTATTACAGTGAGTGCTACTTTGGAATTTGCCTTCTTCCTTCAGGTAGCGTACAAACCAGTTTATAAAGGACTAAATTCAACCAGGGTCTTAAAGCAAATCCAGATGAAATGAGAATCACTTTCACGTCTTTGGGTTGTTTTTTCTGGGAAGATACTCAGGATAACTACTTGTTGTGCTCCCTTTGCTGGTTTCAGAACTTCCTGTTTTGCCACCTCTGCAACCCGATGAGATGAGCCTGTTCAGTAGCACAGTCTCACTGTTCCCAACATTCATAAGGAAATTTTGCTGACATGAGAGATTTATGGCCTGATAAGCAAATCTGCAAGATTCATATGAGTAGCTGTCACTTGAGTTATATTCAAACATGGTGTGTAGCTTCTTGGTATCCTCAGGGCTTCATCCCACTAATGACACCAGTGGCTGTTCCTGGAGTCATGTGGCTTGGCTTCCCCCAGCTTATATTGTTTACTCCGGTGCTTGATGGGCAATCTGAAGCAGTGAGGAACTCTGAGAAGCACTCTGAAGTTTGAACACAACTCTCAGGATTTATAACCTGAGGTTTATAAAGGCAGCCTGGAAACTGAATGAGAATAAACACGTTGCTTGGATGCTTCTGACAGAGATTGGCAGTAGAGCTTAGGAATAGGATAAAATGAAACTTATCTTTCCTGTTCCTCCTATTTCTTTGGCTAAAGTGAGCTTCCCAAACTTGTTGTTTTAATCACAAGGTCCTCGTGTTTTACTATTATGTAAAGTAGGGCCACACTGATGGTAAGGAATGTTACAATTATGCTGCTGAGCCTGTTTGGAGGTGGCTGCAGCTCCCTTTCAGGATATACTGTCCTATATACGCTATATATATATAGAAGTCAGGCACCTCTGCCTCCCTGTCCTCAGGCATTCACAGGCTGCCCCTGGAGGCAGGGGGTCGGTTTTCTTCCACAGTGTCTACCCTGCCAGGAATTTCCACCAGAACACTTCACACCTTTCTTTCCCTCTCCTTTCATCCTCTCATCAGGTGTTTTTCCCTGCTACTTGAGCCTAGTGGCTTAGTACATTTCTATCATTCCTTTCAGGACTTTGTATGGGAAGTGGAGCCTGTTCCTAATTAGTTCCAATAATGAAGTGTTAACACACTTTGCTTCATAGGTGTAAGTCAGGTACTTCAGAGCTGGAGCCAGTTTGAGGGTTTCTTTTCCACCACTTCCTGTTTCCGGCTTTCTCTGCATCTCTTCTCTGCAGGCTCTTCATCTCCAGAACTTGCTCAGGTCTCTACAATTCTTTCTCCCCATTCCTTTTCCTTTTAGGCAACTTCACTGTTTCCCCCTTTAATAAAGCACTCTAAGTGTGTACATTACTCTAAATGTACATTAACAGGAAGATAGTGGTATCAGCTCGGTATCAGCTCTCAGGTGTAACTTTTCCATTTCTGAATGAGTACATTGCCCAAAACTTGTCTCGTACCACACACGCCTCAACAGTCAGTGGAAAGAAAGGTAATTCTGTCATTGTGTCCTCTTTGCTGGCAAGGAGAACTGTGTTGGGAGAGAGCAGGAGACCCCATGCCTTTCTGCTAGCTGAGGATGACTGCTGATTAGCTAGTTCATGTACTGTTTGAGTATAATTGGTCCAGGGCTGGTGGAGAGCAAGGTTGAAGGATAGGTCTTTATCTGCCAGGTGCAATGTTTCTTCTATCCATACTAGTCACCGTCTGCCAAACAGCTAGGAGTTTCCAGCATTCACATACTGTATCACACATGAACTTCTACTGTTTGTGTTTGTGGTAGTCTTTGAGATCTGTGTATATTGATAAAGGACTCACGGACAATGGAGATCACATAATAGGAAACAATTAGATGTTAAAGTCTCAGAGCCTTGGAAGTTAAAATAAATAAATAAATACACTGCTTTTATAGACAAGCAGAATAGAAATAATGTAGTTTTTGGATTTACACCAGAATCTGGCAAAATTTGCAGGTGGGAAGACTTGTGTCTCAGGTATGTCATACATCAATGCACTTACTAAGCTTTTTCCTTGGGATGGTGACACTTCTTTCAGCATGGCCACAATCATTGTGTTAAACGGATGGCCACTCTTGAAAGGAAACATACTGTGAGATCATGGTAGTTGAGATGAGGTCTGCTAATCTTCGAATGTGACCTCTCATCGGAGGCTTGCTGTGGTGAAGAATACAAAATATTCAGTATGTTTTCAAAAAAGACCCTTTTTTTTCTCCTTTGACCTTAGGAATAAAATGTACCTTCTAAAATGACAGCAGCAATGTATAGGAATGCATCAAGTGGATAGCAGTGGTGATCTGTCCAAATGGATTTGGATGTGCTTAGCTGGAAGTTTTGCTATACTGTATCTCATTAAAATATGACTTTTTTTTTTTTTTTTTCCAGGAGAGGATCCATGGCACAATCTGGAATGAGATTGATGATTTAAAGGCATTCAAGGTGCTGGATCTAGAAGATTTTGAAAAGATGTTCTCAGCATATCAGAGACACCAGGTAGGCGGGGACTCTTTC